CCTCTTTACATCTTCAATTGTTCAGAAGCTACCTTAATATTGCAGGAAGGGGAAAGGTATGTCGACCCAACTAAAGACCAGTTGACTTAGTGGCCATGTGTAGACATGGCCTCAGAGCGCTGTAACTGTAATGTATTGAAACTGCCTGGAAGGCACCATTTGGCACCCATACCAACATCAAAAGGCAATGTTCCTAATGAGCATCTGCAGCTGAGAGACAGTATTTCAACAACACGAAATGAAAGGGCATAATGGCACCACTGCCAAAGCCAAATAATTTACATCCTTTTACATCAGCAAACGGTTTTAAGGTTTGGCCTCAGCAGTTAATAACAAAAAGAGTCAAAGCTGACATTACTATAAGCGTCAGGCTTACTTCCAGATTCTATTACCCTATAGTAGCAAGCATACCTACTGTACTACTGAACATAGTTTCATTAAAATATTTTTAAATTAAAAACTCTAGATCTTATAAAAACCTAATCATCGGGACTTTTGCCTGATGCTTTTTGAGCTGATTAAGAAACACAATTCTCATGTAAGTTTTATTCAGAATTCCTTTTTAACCAAAGCTGTCTTAAGTCTTTTTTATTCAAAGCTCCAATGACTATTATTTTATACAGCTCGATGATTAATGCTTTCAGATTTATTTAATCTGTTAGCCCGTTTTAAGATTAGTAAAAGGCTATTTGTTATTTCCAGCTATTTCTCTTAAAGTTCCAGACATTCCTTAGACCATATATTTGTTAATTATTAAACTGAGAAATTATCAATTATGGAATATACATTAACATATTTATCTTGACACTGTAAAATATTTGTATGCTCAAACATTCAACACTTCAACAAGATAGGAGGAGTCTTTTAAAAGTGCCTTTGTCTCTTCCCCAGCTGCAACTGATCTCAGCAGACAGATGGGGACAGGTGCGGCCCTGCCCTCGTCTTCCTGCCATTTGGATCTGGTCTCCATCACCACAAACCTAAGATTATCAGGGAAGTTCAAACTGTTCTTCAATAACAGGTAGTCAGTCACTCATTTTACATGAAGTCAGAAAGGACTGTAAAATATCCGTGGAGGTCTGCCAGTAGCATTGAAGCCACTTTCGGTATGGAGAGCAGCCACAGTTCTTCAACACTGACAATGTAAATAGGGGGAATTCATCAAACTAATACTAAATAGAAGCTTCAGCGTCTTAAAATACTAAGTGGTTGCATCAGAAATCCCAAATCCATATTTTAAGCACTGTGAAGTCACAAAATACTGTCTTTAATTTGAAAGCATATGTCATGTCTAAAGGTTAGTTTTCAGATGAAAAACTCCTGCTTGATAAATAATTAAGATACTGTTCCCTATAACAAAAAACACAGAGAGATTATTTACATTGAATTATCTATTACCTAAAGAATTCAGTTAATGATAAATGTATTCCAAAAAGAAACACTATCAAACTCTTCCAATTTGTGGACTCCATGTAACCGACTTCTCCCTCTGCTCACTGCCTGAAGTAAACACCCACATCTCTCACAAACATCACATCCACACCATAATTTTCATGTGGTCTTATATGTGGGGATTTGGGGCAATTACTGCCTTAATTCTTGAACTATTAAACTCAAAGAAGCAGTCACCAATTAACAAACTCAGCTTAACCAGTAGACACAGGAAGACTTGAAAACGTCTTTAGTGAAAAGGGACATGTTCTGCTATTCCAGTGTTATTTAAAAAGAAAACCCAAATCTTGGGCAAATGTATCTGGAAAGAAGTCATCAAGTTCAGTCATTGGAGGGAGAGAGAACTTGGCAAGTTTTAGATTAATGAAAAGTTAGGCTGGTAGACCTTTAAAATGTCTGTAGTGGGAATAGAAACTCAAAAATTTAAATAAGTGACAGACACTTCCACAATGTCTGAATTACATTCTCTGTTTGTTTTCAACTCTGTTAAGTTTTAAATGAGCTCTAAGTTAATTTTAATATTTAAATATGCTAATATTTATTGAAAGAAAATTGTCTTTTAGGGTTTTGGATAGTTAAAAGTTTTCCATATACTTAAATATGGCTTTATTATAATCAGTTAATTTTGTCAGGGACAAATTTCCCATTTTAAAATTAAAATCAAAGGAAAAATATAGTGCATTATAATTGTGCTCACAAGGAACTTTGCTGAAAGAAATCTTAAGTGGTTTAGGAGTGGTATTAAATATACCCGTATGTATGCTACCTTTCATAAAGTAGCAAAGATGTTCTTTGTTCTTAAACTGATGCTATCTTATTAGAAAACCAGTTCTATCCATTCCTTGACTCTTGCAAGTTAAACTGGCAGAGGACCATGAAATTATCAAGTAAGCATGTGACTTAACCATGCCAAATCCTTCAAGCAAATTTTCCACACAATATCCAAAAATGCTGCTGGAATAGACTCCAATATACTATGCAGTTCTAAAATCTTCATTTTATTTCTAAAGAATCTAAGAACCAAAATGAGAGGGGCAGCCACCTAGCTCATATCGTATATTAAGGTTAGCACACCTAATATCTAAATTTTCATATGTACCAAGTAGAGCACAGAACCAGAATCACCAACTGTCCCTAGAGATGCTACATTTGAGCCGCCCCTCCCCCAGAGCAAAGCAAGAATAAAAAAGGGTGTGTGTGTAATATTGTTTTTGTTTTCATTCTGATCCTTCTAGGTGAGTTCTCTGGATATTTTCTAAAAGCAGTACTTTAAAGGAAAATTATTTCTCTTTATAAAACCATTCAACTTCTTACTTTTGTGAAGCACCTTGGAGTGTGTTTCACATTCTGCTTTCTTCCCATCCTCTCGGTTCTTGGAGCTTTCATTCTAGAGAACACTGGTCAGAATGCCACCCTAGCCTGAGAATCCACGAACATCCTATGTGGGATTCCCTAGACCTGTACCTGTCTGCAAATCCCGTGGGATTCAGACCCTGAGGGATACACCCATCAGAAGTGGGAGAGGGCAGCCAAGCGGTCTCCTGGAACCAGGAGGGAACACGGGAGATCAGGTCTCCACTGTTACGCTCCCACGCAGAGCAGTTCTCACAAACACGGCCGCTGTGGGGAAAGGTCGCACCTCAGAGACTCACCTACAGCACAGAGAAGGGCATGACCCCGGCTGCCCTGGGCCAGGAGGTACTAGCACCCAGCCAGGGCCGGCCCTGGCCGGCCCCACCCACCTCCCCCAGCCCGTGGCCGCCGGTCAGCGCACGCGCGCCCTTGCGCCCAGTCACCACGCGGGGCCGCTCCCGGAGGCGCCCTCCCAGCCGAGACACGAGGGCCCGGGCGCCAGGGCGTGATTGCGTGCGCTGGAGGGGCTGCGGGGATGCTGAGCCAGCCTGAGAGAGGTGCGGGTGGGCGAGCACGGGCAGGCTGGACAGAGAGACGCCCCGGCGGCCAGTTAATCTCCATGTTATTTGCTCGGAAACTGCCTGGCAGGCGGGGACGGCCTCAGGGCGGGGTCGCTCAGGCGGCGGACAAGCGAGACCGTTAGCCTGGAACACCGGGAGACCGTCCTGGCAGGCAGCTCGGGCCGCCACCCGCGCCGCGATAAAAGCCTCTCCCGGCTTCCCGCCCAGCCAGCCTCGCTCTGATTGGTCGCCATGGGAGGGACCGAGTTGGCTGGGGGCGGCGGCGAGCGCTGCTCCAGGGCCGCCCGCGAAGAGGACACACTAGGTGCTCCTCCTCGGCCCGCCCTGCGAGCTCCCCGCCCGGGCTGAGCTCCCCGCGGCAGGTACGGCGGCGACCGCGACGCACAGCGCTCCTCGTCGCTTCCCAGCACACGCCCCCCGCCCCAATGTCAGCCCAACCCACCCAGCTCTCTGCTGCCCCTGCTTCTTTTCTTCCTCCCCGCCTGTCCATCAGCACGGAGCGCAAATCCTTGGGTGGGGTGGGGTGGGGGAACAGCTAGAAGGGAGGGTGGGCAGGCACAGAATTTTCCTGGGAGGCCAAGATGGAAATAGCCAAAATGAAAAGCGCCTCCCTCCCGTGTCTGCCTGCCGAGGTCCTCTGGGCGGCGGCACAGCCCCCGCCACCCGCGGCAGCATCCCTACAGTCTTCTCCCTAGCTCCCTATTGTTCGCACTTTGCCAGGATCTGGAACCTCGCCCAAAGAAAGGAGACTGGGGCGAGGTGTTTCGGGGCGGCTACCTGCCATTCTTTTCTGGCACCAGGCAATACGGAGCTCGCGGTGCGTGTAAAGGCACACGCGCGCACACACACCAGGCAGCCCCGATCACGCCCTCCTCACCCTCCGCCCCTCCGCACTTCCTCCTGTCAAAACGCGGCGCTCGACCCTCCCATCCCTCCGTGCTCGGGGCCGAGGGCAGGCTTTGCAACTAACCAGCAATTTGGCAAATGAAAAACTAACGTCATATCGATGGGGGTGCAACAACGGCCACACAGCCCTGCAACTCTGCCCATTTCGCCCCATTTTGCAAACCGTTATTCAGCCCGGTTCGGCGGAGGTGGGGAGTGGGTTAGCGAAGCTCAGCAACCCTCAGTTTATGACACCCGGGGAAATAAGGATGGGGGCGGCTGCCCGGGCCTTATTGTTCCCCGTTCCCGGAGCTGAGGCTGACAAGCCCCTTCCCCGACAACTGCGAGCCTGAGCCTGGGCACCACGGAGCCACGACATCGCCTGCCGCCCACCGCCCGCCTTCGGAGGAGCGCTGCCTGTCGTCCAGGTCCCCAGGAGCCAGCTCCCGGCTCCCACCGCTGCTCGCACACAAAGTGGGAAGGGCGGGCGCGCTGGCGGGGCGCAGGGCGCTGGCGTCGCGGGGAGTCAGCCCCGTTCCAGTGCAGCCTGGGAGGGCGCGGGGTTCGGCTGGGCACCAAGGGCGACCCGCTTCTTTCGCAGCTCACGAAAATGACCAGTCTTGGGTTTCCACATAAAACCACCCCAAATAACAGCGTTCCTCTGGAGAGGACAGGGGGAAAGGGACAATTAGCAAATCAGATGGAGAATTAAAAAGAAAAAACATGTACCTGCAGTTCCCAGGAAAAACAAAGTCCAGATGAGATCCTTAGTTTGCAGCATTGTAATCTGCTGTCTGGGAGGGATGTTCTTGCCGCGGTAAATTGTGTCCCCCCCTTTGCAGCGAGTGTGGACGGCGGCAGAGCAACAGACCTAGGGGCAGACAATTGCCAGGCGGAGTATGATTATTTTTGCAGAATTGTTTCCTGCCAGCGGCTGCCGAGCTGCGTTCACGCGCTGAGCGGAGAATGAGTGACAGTCCCAGCCTCAGCACACTCGCAACTCGGAGATCCTTGCGCTGGCCCGGGTTCGCTTTGATGGAACTGGGGATGGGAGCGGGGGGTGGGGGTGAGAACCTCACTGTGTCCTTCCACCACGCCGGCCACAAATAGTGCCGAACATCAAGGAGGTAAGAGACTGGGAAGGCAGATGCGGCCGCCTGCAAAATGTGGCCTGGAGTTATCGAGGGAGCAGGGTTCTTTCCCTGGAAATCTCCTAGGCAAAGCAGGGATTTCATCTTTTCACACTTCTCCTCCCTGCCTCCCTGTTGCCTCCTGCCACCCAGCTCTCCTTAGTCAGACTTTGTATATTTTTATAACTAGTATAAAACAAAAACAGAGTCTTAGATTAGGTTCTCAAAGTTGTGGAATCCTTCCATTTAGATCCTAAGATCTTTGTGGCACAAGGACAGCCTAAGACTTCATTTTCTTTTTTAAGTGCAAAAAATTAGAAATTTGGAGAGGGGTAGGGGTTGCCATTGCTGGTTTTGTTTGTTTTGTGTGTGTGTTTTCTCCTGGCTATGAAGTTTTCACTTTCATGGAGAGGCCACACACACCAGCACCAAACAGCAGATCCCAAGGGAAGGAGGAAGGGAGCTACTTAAGTTAGAAGAAAATGTTCAGTAAGAATTTCTAGAAATAATTGGAATAAAACATTTCCTTGTTAATAAATGCTGAAATCTATGCTCCCTTTTTTAAATGGCCGTCTTTCATACAGGCATTATGACGTAGGAACATTATTAACATTTTCCACCAAAGGGACACAACTTCAATTCTGAAGGTTATTAATGTAGAATATTCCTGCGATACCAACACAATGGCTTCAATTGATCTCACAGCTGTGTTTTAAAAAGAAGGTGGAGGAGCAGGGTGAAAACAAACATGTCTCAGCACCTGAACAATGCATGACTGAGTAAAACACATACGTGAGGGTGTCCTAGATGTGAGATTGCCCTGTTAGCCTGGCACAGTGAAAGCCTCTAGCAGAGTAAGGCACCAACACACCAACATTACCAAGCTCTGCCATTTTCTTTAAAGGGCATGATCCCTACTGCTGTAGCACATTTTAACAAGGAATCCTCTGCTGGCTGGCTGACACCAACCAGCCTCCATCACTCCTTCACCTCTCCTCCTTGTATACGCTCTATCACTCAGGCCACATCAACACCAGGTGATTTTAGGGAACTCCTAAAAGGTATAGTCTTCCCCAAAACCAATCTTTCATGTTTCCTTTTGTAATATTTACCTTACACCAATTATAAACAACTGAAAAATACCATAACATAGAAAGAAGGCCCTAAAATTAACCCCAAATCCCACAGATTCCACAGATACCCACAGATTTTCCAATTCTTCTATATATACATATTATTTTTATAATTGACATATTATAGTAGCAGGTTGGAGCCTGATGATTTTCCCAAACATTTCATTATAAGAATTTCCATGGAGCCATTAAAAATCTTTCTAAATAATTTTATAGCTATGTAATATTTCTTCCTATGGATGGTTCGTCAATGTTTCCCCCAACATTGATATTTAGATTGTTTCCAGAGTTTGATAATATAAATATTGCTTTTCTGGACCATCTTTTAACAAATATTTGTTGAACAATAACTGCAGCCCTGTACTCGGTATATGGGAATATATATATGGTAGTTTGCATTGGATCTGGAATGTCTCCCAAAAACCCACATGTTAAAGGTTTAATCCTTACGGTGGTGTTACTGGGAAGTGATGGAACCCTTAGGAGGCTGGCCCTAGTAGAAGGAAGTTAGATCATAAAGGTGAGCCCTTGAAGGAGTTATTAGCATCCAAACCCACCCCCCTCATCCCCGCCTTTAATCTCTTTTGCTTCCTAGTAGCCATGAGATGAGTAGTTTTCTCTGCCACACACTCCCCACCTTAATGCTCTGCCTTGCCACAGGCCCAAAGGCAACGAGACCAAGCAATCATGGTCTGAAATCTCTGAAATCATGAAACAAAATAAATCTTTTCCCCTTCTAAGTTCTTTATCTCGGGTATTTGTCACAATGATGGGAATCTGTGTGTGTCCGTGTGTGTGTGTGTGTGTGTGTGTGTACACTAATGGGTTCTCTACTTAAACATCTTTAGCTTCAGACATGAGCTTCTGCAAGCAGATAAAATTACCTCATTAAACTTTATGAATTTATGTGGGTGAACATATCAGTCTTTCCTGAAGACAATGTCTTGGTAGTGGAGAAAGATGGAGAAAATAGATTGAGGGAGGAGGAAAGTAAAGTTTGGGGCACCCAAAATAAAAATTTTTAATTTTACCACCAAGAAGGAAACACACTTTTTCCTCTAAACCTCCCTTCTTATAACCCATGTCAGTACAATTGAAAGATACTTCACTATTTTTCTCCCCAAATGTCCCTATTTTTAGCTTTGCAATGTAGACAAGTGTGGAAATCCTATCCCACTTCAGCATGACTGGATTTTTTCTCTCTCCAGGCCCTCCCTGCCCTGTGTAGCTGTTGATCTCTATTGTAATGACTCATTCTAGAATTCTGCCCCAGTTACTCCAATCCACACTCCCAGTACGTCTCCATGTTCTTTTATCAGAATGCATTACTAGTTTTCAATTCCTCAGCTTTGCTCTGTGACACTTTTCAGTTTGCCCTGAACCTCACTTTAAAATGAGATGAAACTGTGGCCCTCTGCAGACCTCTCTGTCTGGAGAGACTCCCAGGCTGTCAGGGACACATCAATGAGCATCTACCATGTGAAAATCCATGGGGTCAAGTGCAGAGGAAGGAAACACCCAGACTGTGCTAGAGGGAGAGCTTTGTTAATAAAAGCAGACCATGATCTAAGAAGACAGCCATACCAAGGAAAACAGCAAAGAGTCCAGGACAGTGCTCCATCTGGTGTGGCAGGTCCTAATCTAAGGCAGCGGCAGTGGGAAAGGGAATAAAGAGGAGCACAAAATTGAGAAATATTTCCAAGATAAACTTTCCAAAGATTTGTGACACAGAGGAAGAAGTCCAAATGCCTTTCATTCATTCAACAAATATTTACTGAGCATCAGCTGAATATCGGGTACTGCTCTAGATGCTAGAGATTGTAGCAGTGAACAAAAGCAGGTCTTTCATGTGCTTCCATTCTTATGGAGATGACAGACAATATAAACATCTAGTATACACATGGTGATAAGTGCTAAAAATACCAATAAAGAGAAGTAAGACAACAGGAAGTTCCAAGGTGAGGAGGAATTACCATTTGGAATCAGAGAGGTATTTGACAAAAATCTAGAAAAAGTGATGGCTCCAAAGCTTCCAGTGGGAGCAAATAAACAGCTACTGGTGACATGGACAGGGAATAGAAGAGGAGGGGAAGATTCAGACTTGGCAAGTACCAAAGGAGCAATAAAGTCAGCTCTGGAAATATTAAGTCCAAGATGTTTGAAAGACATCCAAGTGGAAATGTACAGAAGACAGATAGAACACAACTGTTTAAAGTCTGACCAAAAGGAATTGCCAAAGAAAGAGTAGAAAGGCAGTCAGTGAGAAAGAGAACTGAAACATGACAATGTTACAAAACCTAAAGGAGAAGAAATTTTTTAAGTGATCAAAAAGATGAAAGTTTAAAAGAACCTCCTAGATTTGGCCATTGGAAAGTCCTTGGTGGTCTCTAAGAGAGCAGCCTTCATGGAGCAGTGGAGAAAGAAGGCATCCCTGACCCTGAGTGGATGAAAGGGTAGGTAGGGAGAAGAAGCCGGGTATGGGGAGCATCTTTCCAGTAGCAAATGATGGGGGAATATGTGATAATGATAAAGAAAGGAAGACAAAGTTAAGGGACAAGGAGGCTTAAAGAAGTTTTTCTTTTCTTCTCTTTTGACATGATGACTTGTCATCAGCTTATAAAGTAAATCAAATCAGTTGTCAACTCCTGCTCATCACCACCATGACCTTATATATTAACTCAACTTATGTTTGAGAAATGAACCAAAGGGGCACTTTCCTATTGCTTTTGAGAAGGAGGATGGCAGGAATGATCCCAGAGCTCAAGCTACCCTAGGAGTTTTATTTCACTATTGACATGGGCAAAATGCATTCTTGGAAGCACAGCAGATTAGAACTAATGAAAGAGGCAGAGACCTCAGACTAGAGGAGCCTGGAAGACAGCTAGGTCCCACGTGATGGAGAAGATAGAACTGAGCCCCACCAATTTAAGGAATGAAAGTCTCTAGAAGCTCCCCAGCCCACAGCTCACTCTTAGCTTCTCATATTCCATATCCAGTTGACACTAATGACTTGTAAGTTCCACTGGATGGCAAGGCTGAGGCAACATGCTCCCCTCTCTGTTCAAGGTTGACTCAGGCCCTGGTTAAGTTCTCCTAGATACTTACCAGTCAATCCAGCTGAACGGTACTGAGGACCTCCAAAAGCAGGGGTGGGGTGAGACCGAGGATCACTGCTTCTCTGTGTGGTTGTGCACTGTACAACTTTAGAGGGTCCCTTTCACACCCCACTCACCCACTCACTATATTGTTACCATGACAATTTTTCTGGCATTGATAGAAGTAAAGCATCAAGGAAGAAATGTCATTTTCTTGTACTTTTTTAATTGTGCAAGAGATTTATTAAGGAGTACTTTCAGAATCAACACCTGTGTGGAAAGGAAACAAGTTGGAAAGAAAGAGAAGTCGTGCCATGTGGGCACCACAACACCTCAAACAGCCTTTTGAGGACTCTGAACCTAGTTACAATATATATACTCTGACCAGACTAGATTCAGGTCACTCTGGGAATGTGATCTGACCTTGGGAAAGGTGACTGTCTTCAGCCAAGGGCAATTTCCAAGGCAAAGCTGACAGATGAGGTGATCCAAGCATCTGGGGAAGAAAGTTCCCTGGTCTGCAAGGTAGAGTCTGGTCCTTAACATAGTACTCAATACCAGAGGTTAGCTCTAAATCAAAATCTAATTTGGGTAAGTTAAATTTTGCTTTTCTTTTAATTGTGCTGAAACATAAAATATACATAACATAAAACTTGCCATTTTAATATGTATAGTTCTTGACATTATGAATATTTGCATAATTGTACAACATTCACCATCATCCAGCTCCAAGCATCTTTCATCCTCCCCAAATGAA